CTTGATACGCAGGGTTTGTGTTGACGATTGGTTGGTGTAAGCATCTGCTATGATCTTCATCAATTCGAAAGCCGGCCATGAAGCGATTTAATGTTCTGCTATGATCTTCATCAATTCGAAAGCCGGCCATGAAGCGATTTAATGTAACCATCATCGTCATAATACAATTTTGTTCAGTATTATATCATGTTACTAATTTTAACTTTTAAATTTTATTTCAGGGGAACTTTTTTGGTGGTTTGGACGAGTCAGTGTTTACACAAAGAGCTGAATCGTTAGTGGATGTTGTCAAGAATAATCAACAAATGAACATCAAGCACGATATGTATCCGTCACAAATGAACGCGAGCATGCCACCCCCATTTTCTACCTCATACACAACTAGGGGGATACACTCATCCGTAGAACACCACAATGAACTCCTCGATCAGATCTCTTTAACGAACAGTCTAGCAGAGATACAAAACCCAATGTTGGCGCACCAACAGTATTCACAAATCCCAAATAATGGTCATATGAACTCCGGCACACACGTGATGCTCTCACATGGCATGGGAATGCATGATCTAGACACCGACCCCCGAGAACTCGAAGCATTTGCTGAGAGATTCAAGCAAAGGCGCATTAAATTGGGGGTGACTCAAGCCGATGTCGGTCGGGCTCTTGCAAATTTGAAACTCCCCGGAGTGGGAGCTCTTAGTCAAAGCACGATTTGCCGTTTTGAATCACTTACCCTCAGTCACAACAACATGATAGCACTTAAACCTGTATTAGCCGAATGGTTAGACCAGGCAGAAGCGACGGCTAGAGCAAAGCGGGAGAACCCATTAATGGCAAACGGAGACAAAAAGCGAAAGCGTACGAGTATAGCGGCTCCGGAAAAGCGATCTTTAGAGGCGTATTTCACTGTGCAGCCACGTCCGTCCAGCGAAAAAATCGCCGCGATTGCAGAGAAGCTGGAACTAAGGAAAAACGTTGTTCGTGTATGGTTTTGTAATCAAAGGCAGAAACAGAAACGGATGAAATATTCAGCACAGGGTAGATGAACATTTAGTGATAGGTATTTTTATCTAAACTTTTATTTTGGTTTGCTATCGTCACGACCACCGCCTGTGAAAATGTGCAACCGAACAAGTTGAACTAACGAGCAAAAGAAGCGCTCATCGCATTACTCTTTTACTTGTAATTATCAGCACTGACTATGGTAGACATCACATAGGACCCACATGTAAATTATAAGATTGGGTAATCATGAAGAAAAGGATTGTAGCCGAGAGAACATCGCTGGAGAGATCATACACGTCGAACATACATGTCCAGGCAACCGAGACCATGCCTATGCCTATGGTGTGGCGTAATGTGTATACCCTCCTTTTAAACAAATATATAAAATAAACTACGATCAATTCCAAGAGAACTCTTGTTGAACTAGAGAGAACCTTCATCGAGTATTACAATAACAAATGCGACTTTTAACTTGAACAAAGCATCTAACTCGGGAAAGCAAAATTCTATACATAAATCGAACTTCAGCTCAAAAGACAGTTTTCGACAGCATTGACTATTTTGTGTTCGTCAACCAAATGAATACCCGCGGGGAAATCGATGTATCCTTTGTGCCATGCTGCTGCGTAGTTACTTGAACGCAGTGACCATGTACAGCAGACGATCTTCATACGATACAAGCCTGGACCTAAGGACTCAAAATGGCGGGCCAAATAGAGTTGCTGTTGCATGAACACTCTTTAAAGTATTCCGATAAAATTAATGAATGTGGTATGTTAGGCCTACCGGTGTTCATTTAATAGTCGAATTACCTAGTCGATC